AGCCGTGTTGGCTCAAGGTTATTTCCATTTTCTGGCGTCCTGCTGTCCCCACCTGGCGTTTCCGGCATGGCAGCAGCTCCGCAGGCAATTGAAGGGACGGCAGCAGTCCTTTTCGGTACTTCTGGGTTCACCGGTCAAGATCCCGACGACTTGAAGGAGAACCTGTTCAACATGAACTCAACTGTCGCCTTGCTCTCCGCCCTCCTGATGAGTTTCACGTTCTCCAATGACTTCGTTGCCCTGGACCTTGGAGAGGGCTTTCCGGATCCCATCTGCGCAGGCTGGACTGGATACCAGTCGGAGAGCGGTAACCTTCGGTTCCAAGACGATTGCAGCGAATGTATCAACATTTGGCAGTCCTGCGATACCTGCGCGATCATGGCAGGCATTTTCCAGATTCTCATGCAGATCACCACCATTTGTGCAGGGCTGTCTGTCAGCTACAGCTGCGGTATGATATTTAACTTCTCTTCGCTTCCCAAAGTGAAGATCCCAGCATACAATGAGAGGATCGGCTGGAGGGTGTCTGGCGGTCGCATCTTGATGAATGCGGCGTTGGGCACGTTTTTCGCAGCAGTGGCCATCAAGTTCTCGCTTGTGCTCGAGGTCTGGAAGTTTGCAGTCTCCCTTGCAGGCGCGCTTTTGGCATCGCTTTTCTACCTCGTCATCGACTGGCAGGGCCGCGCGGATCTGAGCGCTGTTTTGGCCGAGGCCAGCACTGCCGGCAGCAGTGCCGCGCAGGCATGGGAAGGGTAGAGGCCCCCCGCTCTCCCACCAACAGCAGTGATGACGCTAGACTCTGATCACGCTTCCCCGATGCGGGGTTCCAGACAGGGGGTCTGGCAGTGGAGCAAGAGCTGCTGCACGTGCCCTGTCCACGGAGGTGCCCGTCGCGCAGTTCAGCGACTCCAGGAGGTTTCCAGACTCCTCATCCTGCTCCGACTGGATTGCGTTCCTCTTCCCTCCATGTCATTTGCCTGTCAGCAGCTTCTTCATCCCCGAGGCCCTGCTGTATGTCTGGCCTGTCCGGTCCGTGCGAAGTCGCGGTCCGGGAGTCTTTGATGAATACCAACAACGGCGGAGCTGCATTACACCTCGCATCCCTGGCTGGCGTCTCCGTGCTTCCGCGGCACATTTTCTTATGTCTTACGTCTTGGTTTATGCCTTCTGTCTTATGTCTTATGTCTTATGTCTTTTTGACGGGGGCATCGGAATCGGAGGTCGATGGTGCTGTTGACGTGACGTCGCACAAGTTGACGTCACTTCCCTTCCTGTAGCGTGATTTGTCAAGGCAAGCATCATTGTTGGTCAGGTGGGCCTGTCGACGGGGTCCCAGGCCCCCGCAACTATAATCTGCTTTACAAGTCTCATCTCGTAGCAGTGCATTGCGCATGTATGCCTCCAGCAACAGAGAAATCGGGGTAGTGATGAGTTCGAGTCTGGTCCCTACGGGCAGCGAAGACGCTGAAATAATGACCACAGTGGGTTCAGGACGGGCTCTGGTTGTCGGGGCGTTCCGAACCGTTTCTTGGATTTGGGTCGGGGAGATGCGTTCCCTATGTGGCGTTCCTCGTGGTAGCGTGATGGCTTTATAGACGGGACCCCGTTGGCGGGACCGTATAGGCGTGACCTTGTGGGCGGGGCCCTTTGCCTTGGGCACCCCCTTGACGGGGCCTTGCAGGCGATGACCGCGTGGGCCGGACCCCCCTCCCTTACCCAGGGCTGCTGACCCCGGGACCCCATGAACGGCACCCCACGGGCGGCGACGACGGCCAGGCTTCGTATTCCTGAGAGTGCTGTCGGTGCAGGTGCTGTTTCGCTGGAGTCGACCAGGGGCGTGCACAGCCCACCCAAGACTGTCGGCAGGACCCGGGGGTGGGTCCTCCAGAGATGCAGAGTAGTGAGGACAGCTGCGCGCTTGGCAGCGCCCAGGGGTGCGAGGCTCCATTGCTCTGCGTAAGACGTCACCCCGCGGGACCCCCCAGGGATGCGGGAGCATGGGGGCAGCTGCACTCTTGGCAGCACCCAGGGATGGACGAGAGAGCAACGTAGGAGAGGAGGAGGGAGGAGGCGCGAGGCGCGGAGAGGGAGGAGTTCGAGGAGAATGGGTGAGACGAGAGGAGGGGAAGGGCGGGGAAAGAGGGAGGATGTAGGAAGAGGCGCGAAGAACGCATTGCGGGAAGGAGGCCAACCACAGGCGTAGAGGACACAAGTGAATTGTGCTCTGCTGCAGGCACCGGTCCCCGATGTAAGATTGCGCGTCTCTGTCTCCTGTCCATTTTGACCGCCAGGCTGGGGGAATGTCTCCAAAGGTGTGATCGATGAGTTAGTCTGAAGACGTGCCTAGATTTCGCTCTCGTCATCTTGCTTCCTGCAATTGTCTCCCCCTCGTCTTTGTCGCCGTCCTCCTCGTCCTGCCCTGCCCGCTCTCCCTCTTCCACTCCTCGTTGTCGTCTTCGTCGCCCTCCTCACAGTCTGCACTTCGGATCGCTGAGGCGAACGGTGGCTGCAGAACGAGGAGCCGAGGGAGCAGCAGTGGTTGCAGCCGGACGAGATCGAGGTGTGAGTGCACGCTGCGTGTGGTGCTTGCGTCTGTGCTGCCGAGATAGTGGCACTCGGCGGCGTTTTTCTTCATTCCTTTGTCGAATCGGTTGCCAAGTCTGTTGCTCCTCTCTTGCTTCCCCTCTCCGGCGACGGCGCGACCGTGGCCTGCAGCTACATGTATGGCCAGTGCTACATTCTGGGACCAAGACTGGGTTGACCTCGTATGGTCTCTTCATGCTCCCCGCAAGTAGCAGGGGATCCGCTTGGGGCAGGCGTTGATGCCTGCTTGTGGTGGTATTCAGCGCTGCGCACTACATATTCCCTTTGTGGGCCATGATCGAGACAGAAGGACAATCAGGTGTGTCGATTCGCGCTGGGGGAGTCAGTCCTCGCCGAGACCCGTCGCTTCCGTGCTTTATGAAATCTCAGGTGTCGATAATCGGCCACGGCATCTGTGCCCCCCACGAGGCGAGGTGGTCACCGGGGCCCCGCCCGGGAGCAGCATGGCGCCATCTACGTTGCTCTGCGGCCAGGCTCGCAAGATGCACGGGGCACTTCTGAAGGCGCTGCAGGGCACCTTGCACGAGACCCTTCGCGCCCGCTACTGCGGTTCGCAACGGAGTTCGGCGCGCCTGCCGAGCTGCGCCGGCTCTGTGTCCAGCGGGTGGCTGGTTCACCGAGTTCCCTACGTCGTGGCACAGACGACAAGTCCGTGCACCCGGCCGGCCTGCAGAGCATGCGCGCGAAGGCCGAGGACCAGTCAGACCATTGCGGGAAGAACCTGGATTTCTATGGCGACCATGCTGTATGCTGCAATACTGGTCCGTATATTTCAATGCGGCATGGTGCGCTGAGCGGCATTCAGGCGCCGGCGGGTCGCGACGCTGGGCGCTCGGCGCTCCTGGAGCAGACGATCCCTGAGTTCGGCCTGAAGAAGCGGCGCCGGGACGGCAGGGAGGTCTTTGAAGAGACCTTTCTGGACGTCGAGCTGTTCGGGCATCCGACGGCCCTAGAACGCCTTCTCGACGGAACGGTGCGCCATCCTGGGGCCACCCGCATCCTGCCAGCTGGTGCCGTGACGCCGGGCGCTGCCGCTGCCGAGGGGCCCCGGCGCCAGGAAGTCCGGTACCCGGACACGGGCGGCAAGTCCGTGGTCTCCTGCGCAGTGGAGACTTGGGGCCGCGTGGACGGCCGCCTGCCTTCCTTGCTGGACGAGCTCGCGGTCCTCGCGTCGCAGCGGCATCGAGATCGCGGCGTCCTGCCCACGCGCCGGGGGGCGCGTTGGCGGACGCTCGTCGGCGTCAGGCTGGCCATGGGCGTGCCGCGCGCGCTGCTGGACGCGGCGCCCGTCCACTGCTGGCCCTTCGGCGCTGTGCGGAGCGGGGTTCCTGGGGCCCGGGCCGACGGCCAGGCGGGCCGCGCTGGCGCGGCTGCGGCGGCGCGCGGGTAATCCAACAGCCGCATTAAGTGCATAATGTTGCCTCCCTGTGACAGAGGGGCGGTGTTTGGAGGCCCTCTGTGAGGTGTTTGGAGGCCCTCTGTGACAGAGGGGGTCGTCATCCCGTTCCTCCTCATCCTGTTGCTTGAATTCGTATCTCTCATGCTACTTCTGCGCTCATCATCTTTGCGTATGTGATCCTTGTCGCGTTTTCCCATGCGTCCTTTCACAATATCCACCACTTTCTCCACCGTTGCCTTTTTTGCCCCGCCATCTACCTCGTCACCCTTCTTCGCCTGCATTTCCTCCTTCCCTTCCGCCCTTGTCTCCCCCGTCTGGTTCGACTTCCCACTCTTCGTCCACTTCGTTCTCCCTCTTCCCGCCCCCCTTCCTTTCAACCTCTCCGCCGTCCAATCGCGTCGCGCCGTCCGTCGCCGTTATGCTCAAACCATCCCGCGCCCGCGGGTTCGCCCGCGAGCAAAGGCGCAGTGGGGCCGCTCGCGGCCTAGAACGCGCCTGCGCGCCCGTCTGGCAATGGGCGATGCAGGCGGAAACACATGGGGTGGCGCGGCAGGCTGGTGGGCCAGCCGCAGCAGCGGCTGGTCTGGCTGGGAGGGCGGCCGTGATTGGTCAACGTGGGGCTGGAGAGAGTGGCGACAAGACGGGAACACTCTAACGGGGGACGCCAAGTGGCGCGATGACCCTGCCGCCGCAGCGGCGGCGGCGGTCGCGCGTGAACGGCCGTCTCGCTTTGCCGCGGTTGGCGTCGTGGGCCCCCGCGCCCCTGGTCTCGGCATGCCCAGATTTGATACTTTCGGGCGGGCTGCACTCCGAAATTCGCCAGCACCTGGGGATTTTGTTCCAGGAGAGGGGTCGGGATCCCAAGCCGCGCCCGCGGCGCCGGGGCCTTTTGGCCACCGCGGCAGCGGCGGCGCGCAGGCCCCAAGCAGGGAAAAAATTGACGTCGATTTTTCTTGAATTATCAAGAGAGACTCGGCACTTCGTTTAAGCAGCGCAGCAGGGCGTTGACATTTTGGCGCGGCATAAAAGAAAACGCAAGGGAGCCGCCCGAGTCAGAGGCCAAGTGGTTCGACAATGTGGGGCCCACCATGGTGTGTGTTTGCGAACACGGTAAGGGAACGAGCTTCTCTTTCAAGGGGGACGAGGAAGTCCCGCGGCGGTGGCGAGAGCTGGTGGCGACGCTCAGGGAGGAAGATGTCAGGGAGGTCGCGCGGGTGGGTGGTGCGGGGGGGGGGGGGGGGCGCGGCAGCGGGGCTCTGATCGGCTGTTCCTCGGAAATGCGGCCAAACAGCTGCGACCGCGTGCGCCGGAAAACCGCGAGCGCGCCACAGTTCGCGGAGCAGCGGATGAAAATGAAGCTGCCGATGTGGGATTTCGCGCTGCGCCGCGACGACGGGACGGGCGTCCGCATGCAGCCGCACTCGGGCGACAGAAAGGTCGCAGCTGCGCCCCTCGCGCCCCGCGCGGACGCGGCGGAGCCATCGGCCGCGGGCTTGGGCGGGGGGCGACGGGCGAGGGCAATTTCGCCATTGCAAGAACCTGCGCGTGGAGCGCACGTTCTGGTTCGACGCCGCCAGCGAAAAGCGAAGGTCAGCGCCTTCTTTGGGGCCCCGCAGCGGCGGGGATGCGGCGTCCAGCACGGGGGCTTCGGCGCCCGCGGCGCGCCCGCGGGGCCAATGGCAGGGGCAGCGCGCCGCGCGTGGACTGCGAATGGCAGGGGTCGACCTGCCGAGCGAGCTCCGCAGCGTCGCGGAGCGCCGTGATGACGACGAAGTCGGCGTAGGTGACCCGCGGTAGGTGACCCGCGGCAAGGTGGCCCACAGTCAGCGGCCCCGCAGCAGCGGGGCCCGGGCGAGGGGGTCGATTCGCATTTTAGCAGGGGCGCGCGCGTCGGCCTGTGAGATCGGGAGTGCGCGTGCAGTCGCTGTTGCGCGATCTTCGCTCTGAAGTCATCCCTCTCCTCCCCGCCCCGCCCCCCGCCGCTCTCGACGTCAGCTCCTCGCCGCCCTTTCCTCGTCGCTCCGCGCTCGTTCTTCTCGTGCTACCTCTCCCGCTTTCTCGCTCTCTCCATCAGATTTTCTGCGGCTGTTGAAAGGGGCCGACGATGGCGCGTGCCGCCCGCGAGCGCGTGGGGGACTTATGTATTGTCCACGATAGAAAAGCTGACGCGTAATTCCAAGCGCTGAACTCACAATTTCTGCGGCTGTTCAAGGGGGCCGACGGTGGCGCGTGTCGCCCGCGAGCGCGTGGGGGACTTATGTATTGTCCACGATAGAACAGCCGATCTGTAATTCCAAACGCTGAGCCCAAATTTTCTGCGGCTGTTTAGGGGTGCCGACGGTGGCGCGGGTCACCCGCGAGCGCGTTGGGGACTTGTGTATTGTTCACCATAGGAAAGTCTACATGTAATTCCAAACGTTGAACTCAAA